CTAGTAAAAAACTAGAAAAAACAAATCATTCAACTATTGCACGTTTTGTCAATGATGGCTTAAGGATTTTGTGGCCAAGTGGTGGTAATGACGAAAAAGTTTTGCTATTATTATCAGATGCAGCCCCATATATGATAAAGGCAGGTAAAACATTAAATGTATTTTGCCCCAACATGATACATGTTACATGCCTAGCGCATATGCTTCAAAGGATTGCTGAAAAAGTGAGAGAATTATTTCCAAATGTTAATACACTGGTAAATAATTTAAAAAAAGTGTTCTTAAAAGCTCCCCATCGTGTAGAAGTCTACAAAGATGTTTTGCCAAATGTAGCCTTACCACCAGAACCTACACTCGCTAGGTGGGGTACTTGGATTGAAGCAGCCACCTTTTGTGCTGATAATTTTGAACAGCTAAAAATAATTATCATTGAAAAATTGAAAGAAAAAAATGTGGTCAGTATAAAAAAATGTGAAGATATGCTTAAGTTAGAGTCTGTTAAAACTGATCTTACATATATTAAAACCTATTTTTTTATACTTGTTAAAAGTATTAAAAAATTAGAGTCATCTAATTTACCTTTGTTTGATGCGACAAAAATTGTTAATAAAACTATTTTAAACATGGAAATGGTGTCCGGAAATAATGGAAAAATTATTAAAGATAAAGTTTCTGATTTAATACACAAAAATGGTGGTTTTAAAATATTGAAGCAGATATCAGATGTTTTATCCGGGAAAAAAGAAAGTTTTTTACCCCCAAATTTTACACCCACGATGAGTACTTGTATGAAATATGCACCTATAACATCTGTGGACGTTAAACGGTCGTTTAGTACTTACAAAATGATATTAACTGAAAAAATAACCAACATGACCCTACAAAATATGGAAATGTATATTGTAATTAATTGTTATGAAAACAAAAAATAAGTTTTTTTTTTTTTATTTAAATATTTTTTTGATTTAATTTGATGTTGAAAAGTTTAACATTTCTATTTTATTATTTGTTAAAATGTTTTAAAAATATGTAATGGTGTTTTTTTTTATATATTTAAATATTTTGTTGATTTAATTTGATGTTGAAAGGTCCAACACTCCTAATTTTGTTATATTTGTTATGTTATAAATTTATTAAATTTGTAGTTGATAAAGAAATATAAATATATAATGCATATTTGAGCATATTTTTCATTTATTTGTGCATATTAATGCATATTTTGACCCTTTTGCTTTGCATATTTGCATCATATTTGCCACATTTTTAGTGCATATAATTCCGGTCTCTGCTTATGACCTTAAACACCTGAACTTTGTTTACTTATCCATTAATATTTAATTATTACTTGGCACTCAACCCATTATCATCATGATATACTTCAGCAATACTTCCCTTTCAGTTTCTTAAGTATTAACATGATCATCACCTGACTTAATATGCAGTTCAAAACACTTAATTCGAGATTAGTAAGTAGGTCTCCACAGGAAAAATATTTACCTATACGTGAGTTCCGCTTCAAAAAAAATACATCGTACGTGTGTAAATTCCTACATGAATATATATTATAACAAGTACAGATAGTTTTCCAACTTTATAATCACTTAGGACTAACAACTTAAACGTTGATTGGTGTGGTTAACATTTGTATGTTTTTGTGTTTTATAAAAAAAAAATCTAATGTCTAATGATATTTTGAATTGAACATTGAATTTGAGTATCAAATACACATGAAATACATGTAATCAAGGCTAGGCTTTAACGAGTTAAAAATTAAAATTAAGTTTTTTAACTCACATACAACTTATGTTAGGTTTATTAACTTTATTATTATCTTATGTATATATTATATTATGTTTTAAAAGTATTGTTAAAGCATTAATTAAATATACTAAATTGTATATTTAATCAATGTGCACATATATTAATGCGTTAGTTTGCATTAATTTATAATAATATTTATCCTACTTAACATGGGGTATAATTTTCTTATATAATTGTATGTACGTAATTTTAACATTAATATTTTATAAAAATTAAAAATTGTTTAAATAATATTTAACTTAGGAGGGGAGTAAACTGATAAGTATTATATCTATATATTATATAAAAATAAAAAATTAAGTCAAATTTGTATATAAATAAATTTTTCAAATAATTTTGTTTATCTGAGAAATATTATTATAATATATTGAAATCGATATTTTCTAACATCGTTTACAAAAAAAATCAGCGGGAGTAAATAAATAGATTTACTATGGATATATAATATATATTATATTAAATATTATATATTAAATATATATAACACATATTGATGTATTTCAGTAATAGAATACCACTTGTATTTATAAAATTGCAGTTCAATCGTAGAAATGCTATTTTTATTACCGATGAGAAAGTTTGGTTAGTCGTATTAATATGAATAACAACTCGACTGTGTTTTTAATATAGTCTTTTATTAGTGACCTAACCTAACCTAAATAGTAATGTTCATATAAAATTTGTGTGCGAGATGCCAACCGGTAGACAATTCTCACCGATTTTGATATGATACTGATAATTATTATTTAACCATATAGTATTGTTATTTTACATAAATGCTTATGTTACAAAGTTCAATATTTTTTTTTAATTTAGTTAATTTTTTTATCCATTCATTTTTAACTTATTGAAGTTAAAAAGATATACTGGTTATTGTTATTGTAAATCGATTATTTTTCGTAATATTAGTGCAATAATAATGACGGATAGTACACTTCTGATTTTTCTCAGAGTTGGTAAAAAATAGTAAAAAAAAAAAAAACGAATAAATGCCCTAAAATTGAAAAGAATGATTTAAAAAACTATCATTTTGAACGTGAAATCGAAAAAATGTAAAATAAATGAGTTGTCGAAAAACATTTCAGACGGCAATGAAATCGTAGTCTACTAAATTTCTAGAAAAAATATGCAAAAGTTGCCAACATCCGGGCCCTAATAATAATAATAATACGATATAGTGTTTAAATAATAACGTTTCCGACCGAGATAGAACAATATTATCGATACGCTCATGTGAGTTGTAACCTTGTTAACGCGCGCGCTCATTCTAACGCCGTTCACGCTACGTATCTACTGTATCACGACGATGACCCTGTCGCGTCGATAAGAAACAAGCAATATTGTTGTGTAAAAGACAACAATAACGCAATCTTATTATTACTATTAATAACTATTTTTTCATTTACTCGAGGCTTTGAACACAAAGTTTTCATCAGCCTACAATACTTATTTTATTATGTATAGTCGGTGTTTTAAGTATCTAAAGCTGCTGCGCATACACTCGAGAAAAAAAACAAAATGACAATTTTATATGATAGCTGGTGCAGATCCAATGGGGGGATTGGGTTAGGCTAAAAATTGATAATACTCTATTATTATAGTAATTTTTATGAATTTAGATATATTCATACGAAAGAAATCATACAACTTGGATGGGTAATGCTTTAAAAATGTAGACAGCATTTAAAAAACAGCGTACACATTTTCAAATACGTCACTATTATCATGTTGCCATCAATGTTTATGCACCCAATGTGTTTTCTGAGATTTAATAATAGAACTCTTTAATAATTCCATCCTAAAAATCCCATTCATTATCTGAATAACTATAAAATTCCATATTTTTAAAAAAAAATATTATAAAACTACACACCGTGTACTGCAATCCGTCAACTATCAAAAAAGTTATTGTGGAAAACAATTCGCGGTATCTTGTCATTATTATCACCAGATGAAACAATTATCTGTTCAACTATCATAGTTTGAATTGAAAATTCGAGTACAACGAATGCAACTATATCCAAGGAAATTCGGGCAGAATATTTTTCGGTTCATTCGATCCGGCTGGTTCGGATCTCTAGTGTATTACGTTCCCGGATCCGAATACTTCTTTTGAATGAGTTGACGTTTATGTTTTATGTCTGTGATAAGTAGGCGCCAAGGCCACAGATAGAAAAATATTTTGTGGGAGGGTTGGGGTATAAATATGTCTTCAGACGAACAAATTTACATTTAACATTTCAAACGGACATTTTAATATGGGGGCACTAACAGGCACTTAAAATCATTCAATTCTGTTTAGAGAACAATTTCGGGTGGAGGTGTAGGGTCTGAACCTTAACCTCACCACAGCTACGGGTTAGGTGGGGAGAAAATTCTAAAAATTAGTCGTTTACGCGGAGAATACACATTTTAATGACAATTTTATTATTGTTGTTTGTTGTAACAATTATCGGTTGTCGGCGACGATGTTTACGAAGAACGAAAAAAAAAAAAATTCGCGAAAATCGCACGCGGCGCATCGGTGGAAGAGCGCATACGCGAGTGAAAACGTGTCCAGGTTCGACGCGCGCGAACCGTTCCTTCGGCCATATCGCGTCGGTTTTGTTTTTTTCCTCCGCCGTCCGTCCATCCGTCCGTACACCACGAGGTTTTCGACTGGCGCGATAATCCGCGCGC